CCTCCATACTGTTTTCCACAGCAGCTGCACCATTTTACTTCCCACCAGCAGTGCACAGGGTTTCCCTCTTCACAGCATCCTGGCCAACACTTGTTCTTTCTTGCCTTCTTGATACTAGCCATTCTGACAGGTGTGAGGTGATAGCTCACGTGGGTTTGATATGCATTGCCCCAGTGATGAGTGACGTTGAGCACCTTTTCATGTGTCTGTTGGCCCTCTGTGTGTCTTCTTTGGAAAACGTCTGTGCAGATCTTCTGCCCGTTTTTCAGTCGCATTGTTTATTTTTTGCTCCTGAGTTGTAGGAGTTCTTTGTCTGTGTTGGGTGTTAGCTCCTCGTCAGATCCATGACGTGCGGTGATTTTCTCCCTTTACAAGGTTGTCTTCATCACATTCGTGGGCCCCTTTGCTGTGCTGTGGTTCTGGAGTTGGAGGTGGTCCACTTGTCTGTTTTTGCTTTTGTTGCTTTTGGTACCATATTCAAAAAAATCATCGCCACGACCTATGTTAAGGAGCTCACCTAAGCCTGGGTTTTCTTCTAGGAGTCTTATGGTTTCAGGTGTTAGGGTCAAGTCTTTAATCCATTTTGAGTTAACTTTTGCGTATCGTGCAGGATAGTGGTGCGGTTTCATTCTTTTGCACACGGCCGTCCTGTTTCCCCAGCACCGTTTATTGAAGAGACCGTCCATCCCCGTTGTATATTCTTGGCTCCTTTGTTGTGAACTAACTGACCGTATGCGTGTGGGTTTGTTTCTGGGCTCTCTGTTCTGTTCCACTGATCTCTGTGTCTGTTTTGAGGACGATGGAGCTCTGGAACATAGTTTGCCATCAGGAAGGTGATGCGCTCCAGCTTTGTTGTTCTCTCTTAAGATCGCTTTGACTGTTCTGGGTCTTCTGTGGTTCTCTCCAAGTTGTAGGTTTGGTGGTTCTTTTTCTGTGGAAAATGCCATTGGACTTTTGATTGAGATTGCATTGAGTTTGTATGTTTTTGGTAGTGTGGATATTTTAATGCTATTGTTCTTCCATTCTGTGAGCAGCGAATATCTTTCCATGTATTTGTGTCTTCTGTTTGTTTCATCCGTGCCTTACAGTTTTCAGTGTACAGGTCTTTCATCTCCTTGGTTGAGTTTATTCCTAGGTATTCCTGGGATCTGTTCCAGGGATATAAGATTGGTTAGTTCAACATCCACAAGCAAACCTTTGTGAAACACCACATTAACAAAATAAAGTATAAAATCGTATAATCATCTCAAATAGATGCAGAAAAACCATTTGACAAAATGCAACATCTATTTATGATTGAAACTCCTAAAAAGTTGGTATAAAGGGAATGTATCTCAACATAATAAAGGCAGTATAGGACAAACCCACAGCTAAAATCACTCAATGGAGAAAAGCTAAAAGTTTTTCCTCTAAGATCAGGAACAGGACAAAAATGCTAATTCTCACCACTTTGATGCAGCATAGTACTGGTAGCAATCAGACAAGAAAAAGAAATAAAAGGCATCCAAGTCAAAAAGGAAGAAGTTAAAAAAATAAAAAGTAAAACTGTCACTATTTGCAGATAACATAATATAGAGAAAACCATGAAGATTCTAACAAAAAACTGTCAGAACAGACAAATTTAGTAAAGATGCATGATACAAAATCAATATACAAAAATAAATCTATTCCGTTTCTATACGCTTAAAACTATCAGTAAGAGAAAGTTAAAAACCAATCCCATTTAAAATTGCATCAGAAAGAATAAAATATGGGCACCTGGGTGGCTCAGTTAAAATGTCTGTCTTGGGCTTGGGTCATGATCCCAAGGTCCTGGGATTGAGCCCTGTTTGGGCTCCCTGCTCCCAGCTCTTGTTTTCGCTCTCAAATAAATAAATAAAATCTTAAAAAAAAAAGAGTTGCATGGTCTACCACCTGAGCTAGCCAGGAACCCCAGTCCTTTATATTTCTCTTATCAGCTGTAATGTCTCCTATTTCATTTCTGATACTGTTTGAGTCCTCTTTTTTCTTGGTGACTGTGCACAGGTTTTTCATGAACTTTTTTGGGGACATAGATATTTATAGCAGCGTTTTTCATGATAGCCAATGGGTGGAAACAACCCGAATGTCCATCAGTGGACAAAATAGATAAACTAAATGTGGTGTATCTATAAAATGGTATAGTGTTCAGCCATAAAGGAATAAAGTCTTGATACATCCTAGGACTTGGGGGTCCCTTGAAACTGTTAAATGAAAAGTCAATTATAAATGTCTACGTACTATGGGGCGCCTGGGTGGCTCAGTCGGTTAAGCTTCTGATTCTTGATCTCAGCTCAGGTCTTGATCTCAGGGTCATGAGTTCAGGCCCCTTGTTGGGGGCACTGGGTGGCTCAGTCAGGTGGACTGAGTCCAGCTCTTGGTTTCAGCTAGGGTTGTGGTCTTGGGGTGGTAGGATCGAGCCCTGTATAGGGCTCTGCACTAAGTGTGTGGTCGGCTCTGTATTCTCTCTCTCCCTCTGCCCCCCAACTCGTGCACGTGTTCCCTCCCTCATTTGCACGCCCTCTCTCAAAAATAAATAAAATCTTTAAAAAAATAAAATAAATGTCTACATATTACATGTTTCCATTCATATGAAAGTCTGGAACAAGTGAGTATATAGACACTGAAAGTAAATTAGTGGTTGCTTAGGGTTGGGGAAGGGATGGATGGGAATGGTAGTTAGGGGAGGATAAAAAGGTGATAGCTTAAGGATATAGGGTGTTAGGGTTTTTTATTGAGATATACCTGACATAAAACATTTTATTAGTTTCATGTGTACATTATGATTTTATGTATGTACCAACATGATTGCCAGAGTAAGTCTTTGTGAACATGCTTTAATTTTTCTTGGATACCATATAGTTTATACAATAAATAAAATATTTTTATATAAATTTTATACATTGTATATATGTTTATATATATTTATATATATAATTTTATATATTTTATATTTATAGCATGAATATATTCTGTTATTCTTTCAAGCACCTACCTGTGTTTATTTCAAATTCATATGATTCTTTTTTTTCAGCGAGTACTGAGCCATCAAGATGATACAGCTTTGCTAAAAGCATATATTGTTGAATGGCGAAAATTCTTTACACAGTGCGATATTTTACCGAAGCCTTTTTGTCAACTGGAGATTACTTTAATGGGTAAACAGGGCAGCAATAAAAAATCAACTGTAGAAGACAGTATTGTTCGAAAAGTAAGTTACTTTTTGCATTTTTTACCCTAATCTTCAGAAAGAGGGTAATTTTACAACTTTAGAAAGTAATTCAGACTTTTAAGTGGTTTTTCTTTTTTTTTTTTTTTAAGATTTTATTTATTTATTTGAGAGAGAGAATGAGATAGAGAGCATGAGACGGGGGAGGGTCAGAGGGAGAAGCAGACTCCCTGCCGAGCAGGGAGCCTGATGCGGGACTCGATCCCGGGACTCCAGGATCATGAC